TATTGCCCTCCCCCCCCCCCCCCCCCCCCCTACATTTAACTTGTTATCATAACTGGAGAGGTGATGACAAATGGTTTCCACTCACTTGCGCATGACGCACATTGAAGAATATTCATTTATCCTGATGGCACCCTCCCTCCCATCCCAGCTTCAACTCTATTCCCAGCTTTCCATTAGCTTCACACAGGTAATTGCATTTGCTAGTGTTCGTTGCACCTCAGTGACTGGTATAATTATACAGATGTGATCATTGTTTCTATACAACTAGAGAATAATAATTCACTCGATAGAGCGGGTAAACTCAGCTGGAGAATCACAACTTGTTGAACTTGAACCAGGTTGTTGATACCATTGATTCGCTTCACGATTAATGAAATTGGCCTCTGCAATCAGAGTTGAATTCACAAATTATGAGAAAGATAAGAGGAGATTTCTTCTTTCATCTATTAGGCCCCCCAAAGTTTGTCCAAAAAGTCAGCACAAATAACGGTATGCGTCTCTAAGCAAATGCGTGCCAACGTCAAAAGTAGTGGGGAGTTGCTCTTTCAAGTCATCGGGAACTCTAGTTAGGCAGTCACAATTAAATAGTAAGCTACAGGGTAGAACTACTCGAGCTTTACCTGACACGAAAACATGGTGGTACTCGTCCTCATCATATATGAATTGTGGAGGATCTGGTGAGCCAATCCCAACTATTGTGCTTCCACTGCATGAAGTATATGGGAAAATGCAAATAAGATTATGACAAAATGGATTAACTTTTATGTAAATTTTAGCAGCTATCATCAATGTTCTAAAATTAAAAACATGGCTTCAACTCTTCTTTAGCACGTCAGGATTAAAATATATAACTATGCAAACAAAATTTAAAAGCTACAGCTGATTATTTACATACTTCATGCAAACTGTTTGCTTTATTCCAACTCTCCTTGCACCGTATATCATGTTATCAACTACAACTACTCACTTATTAAGAGATGCATGCGGTAAATAAGCTCATTTTGTAAAACTTTGAACGCAAACACACAGAGAGAACCCAGCAAACACAACAAAATAAGACTTTGACATAATATACATAGAGCTTAAAATTCAAAATACAAGAAATAAAAAAATATCAAGGATTTGCACCACCTTACTGGTGCAGGAGAAATGAACTTTACAGTTTCAACTTACAAGACACTTCTGCAACCAAAAAGACCTCACTCCATCCGAACTTCAACATTGGTTAGAAAGGGTCCATGCATTTGATGATAAGCATGTTCAGAAATGAGCCTCAAAGGCTTTAGTGTTGCTAAGTGGGGTGCATAAATGAGAATTTAAGGGAATTATATCATGGAATTTGTGTAGTTACCGGAAAGATTAAGGTTTGGAGGTCAGGAGTCAAGGGAGGATGGTATTTTTCAAAGTTACAGATGAATTCTTAACGGATAGTGGAAGGAACTAGAGAAGTTAAAACAAGGAGAAAAGGCACAAAGAAGATATAAACTAGGTTACAAAAGGTCACCCATGCTCCAAACTCAAATGCGCCATTTTCTTCTCTCTTTTTAACAACAATATACTTTTAAAATAGCAATTTCAACCACCCCCTCTCTCTCTCACTCAAGGAGAAAAGGCATTCTAGCATGCTCCAGTTGGGCTGCATTGGATATGAGAGATGCCTAGTGGATAAATAGTTTTGACTTGATTATATATCTGCTCTATAGTAAGCGTGCCCTTAAGGACCATAAAGATAACAGACCTTGCTGAAAATTATTCAATTTGTAGAAAGGATTTGAATGCTTACTAAAAAGACTTGTATATGTAATATAAACCTAAAACTATTGTTATGAACATGGGGTGTTTACACACACAATTATGAGCTAAGAAACTTGTAATGACAAGATAAGTTAAAGACTTTGTCACTTATCAATACCACAGAATACAGTATCTCATGCACTCAACTGCAGAAGGCCAAATCTCATTAGGATTCATTGGAAATATTATACTATCAAATATAACCATGTTGCTGCTTATGCTAAATGTGGATTCAATATGAAGATTCCAATAGCAATCCAGCATCATACCTCCCAGACATAAAAACAGCATCATATTGTCCACGGCCAGCTGCAGCTATACGCTGTTTCAATCTTTTGAGAGAGGGGAGAACTTCAAAAGCAGGGGGCTCTACAAAAGAACTCATCCACAAATATATATAAAAAAATGAATATTCTCTCACCGTAAAGCAAGCAGAAAACAAAATGTATGATTGGACCAGGAATGCACCCTAGCTATCCAAGAACAGCCATGAGCCTAGAGGGAGTTGTGACTTCGAATGACAAGGGGGTCTCTAGCCTGCAACACCACTCTATATGTTCCAAAAAAGTGTGGTGGGTGAAAGGATGGGTTTTGTTATTGCTGTGAGAACCTGAGACAAGCATGCGTTAGGGGTAGATTTAGGGCCACCCAACCTAACCCAATTGTGCATGCATGAAAGCATCAACCATCATTTCTGTCTTTTGTTCTGCAATTTACCTTATTCTTATCCCATTCATAAATAGCATGTTTCAATCTGTGTCACACTTTTACCTTGAGGAGCATTGTCAGTGTGGTAGGAAAAGTGCCATGAGTGCTTACTATCAGCAATCAATATTTAATCTCAAGAGCTGCTGGTCAAGACTTTGTGCATAGAACAGGCAAAGAGTGGTGGTGATGGTGGCGACACAGAGAGAGGCAGTGGTCCAGATTAGGCCCCAGTGCTTCTTCTCCATATTGAACTGGAGAGACTGTTATTGCTTTGACTTTGAAAGCATTTGATTGAGAAAATTGGAGGTTTTTTACAGTATGGAGTGGGATTTCAAGCCTTAACGAACATATGCTGCAGTTTTAATTTGAGAATTGGCTTAAGGAGATGTTAGTCTGTCTTTCTAGTGTGTGTGTGTTGGGCGGGGAGACAGGTATGGAGTTCTATCTCATAGGCACAGAAGTGATGGAAGTGAAATCTTTTCCCTGACTTGTGAGGCAGGGCAGGAATAGGGGAAGATTTTCTTGCAGCAGTGCCTCATCAGGGAGGAGACATCCATCCCCAACCCACCCAGCTGCCATTCATAATTCACCAATCCCAACTGATTTTACAATACTTTCACCAATTGATTATGATACTATGCCAATTAGAACCAGCTTGTGTCATATCCAATAAATTGGGATCTACCAAAAAGATCTTTTTGATGCATGATGCATGGGACAGCAACGTGCAGCTGTGATAGTGTGTTTCATATATTCTATAACAAAACTTGTGTTTTCCAGTTACTTCATAAATAATTTATTGGGCTAAGAACAAAAACCAAATTGGTTATCCAGAAATCAAAAACAACCATAGCTTTTCACGCAGGATTAACTAATCGGAAAGCAGGAAACCGTAGAAAGAACAGAAGACAAAAAAGGTATTTTGAAAAGGAGGAAAAGAAAGCAAGCTCATGTATCTCTGTAGACTCATACCTAAATCATTGATACAAACATCTTGAGATATTCCATTCCTTGAGATCCTCTCTAGCAATGTTAAAGGATCGGCTTGACTGGTTTTATCCAATTGAAAGCACTGACAAATCAAAAGACTTCTCTTGTCAAGTAAATGAGCTCATGTTAAAGAAGTGCAGACAGTGTTCTAATCCATAATATCAAAACTGAAATACCTTGTAAACTTCTGCAGTTGAACATGCCTGTGGGGGCTTTATGAGAACCATTGGCTTATCCAAAGGTACTAGTGAAGGAATATCTTGAACAATCTGGACAACAAGAGCAAAACTTCAGCAAGATCAGAAACTACAGAGAAGAATTGCATTTCTAGATGTGCAAGCACATTAGGAGTATGCATATATAACTGCAGATGGGTGTGCACATCCTTCTAACTGTAACTAAGAGAAATTATTTTAAGTGATTCATATTGTTTTGTCAGGAAAAGGCTAGCAAGTTCCCCCAATGGCAAACTGACTTTGAAATAATTTCCTCCAGGAAAGATCTTTATTACTAATCCAAACATTTGTGTAATCCTGTATGCATGATACTCACCTCAACTAAGCTTTAACTTCTCAATAGGTGAGGTTGGCCACATGAATTTTTTCTCCATCATTCTGCCTTGTGTAGAAGAAAATCTTCCATGAGATGCTCAGAAGCCTAAAACTAGTTTTGTTGGTAGTTGTTGCCTAACTAGGGGCATAACTTCAATGGAATTGAGAGCATGATAGAAACATGAAGTGGAATAAAGAATACTTTGACTTACTTGACAAAGCAAAATTCATACATACCTCACCACGACCAGTACAGTAGGCTGCTCCATGAGAAAAAAAGAAGGGGATATCTGAACCAATCTCACTTGACCATTCTTGGAGTTCCTTCTCAGTAGCAAGACAACCACTGAATTGATTTGCAGCCCACAGGGCAGTAGCAGCATTGCTGCTCCCACCACCAAGCCCTGCCCCAGTGGGCACACTTTTGTCTAAATGAATCTTCCAAAAAAATTCGCCACAAAATTGATTTGCGGCCCACAGGGCAGTTGCAGCATTGCTGCTCCCACCACCAAGCCCTGCCCCAGTGGGCACACTTTTGTCTAAATGAATCTTCCAAAAAAATTCAAAATAAGAAAATTTAATATTACTATACAATTACTAAGTTTTATCAAGAAACAGATCTTCAACACTAACCAATAGCACTTCTTACCCAAAAGAAGTTGTCAGTGCCGGTCTTTTTCCTGTAAAGATTAAGGGCTTTAATGATCTGTATGAAGAAAATCATGAGAAAATAAGTTCACAAGCATATCAGAAATCAATAAAACAACAAAAACACTATTATTTATGCCTTACCAAATTATCTTCAGTAAGGGGCACACCAGACACATTGGTTGATAATCGATCAATACCTTTTGATGGCGACAGAGAGAATTTGATCACATCTCCTAGACTAATCACCTGAAGGAGCAAAAGGGGCCAAATTATGAATTTTTGAAGATTCAACTGATATATCAAACTAAAACTAAAGTTAGCAATAAAAAAAGCCAAATCAATATGAATCCTTTTTACGATGAACTTGTATAAACTGGTGTCCATAGCTCTAAAAAGAAGGCTAAAGGCAAACACTGCTTAAATTTGGACAAGCTTACATGAAATAGAGAAGCCAAATCATGATACCCATCTTCTCTCTTACTGGTTATTCTCAAGAAAACATTAACCTACACCAAATAGCAATACCACAATGCACATAAATAAATTAAGAAAACAAAACAAACCCAATTATCATAAAAGTCAAGCACAAGCAAAGCATGAGAATACTCAAAAAACAAACCTTGCAAGGTGAGAAAAGGGTGAGCCTTGAGAGAGGAGCCTGTTTATCCACCTCATCAGCCAAGTTGTTTATCCTTCCATCAGGATCATACACTAGCTAAATTACCCCCACCAACCAAGAAAATCAAAATAAAAAACCCAAAAAGTTCAAAACTTGTACTCAAAGCATAAACAACAAACCATGGTAAAATGAAAACAAAAACAAATAAAACAACCTCAAAAAACCCAAGTGAACCCAAAATTCAAAAAACAAAGAAATTTAAGCCAAAAGTATACACCTCTACTTTCTTTCCTGTGGCTTTAACAACTGGGGTCTTTGGAAATTGAAGTTGTTGACGAAAAGAAAAGGGCCCACGGGGATTAAACGAAGAGATATTGCTTTTACTTGATAGATTGCAAGATGGTTGGAAATGAAAAGTATTGCAAAGAAGATGAG